TGCTTGCAGGCAGGCTGCTGAGAGCTTCCCATTGGGGCATGCACGTGTGCTACAGCCTCCCCGCAGGGTCTGCCCAAGTGCAGACATCTGGTTCTGTCCTCTGACACTCACAGGGCGGAGGCTGGGTGTCCCTCATCACCTGCTCACCCCTCATCATCCTTCCCCCTCTGCACCCCCCGGACTACTGGAGCCCTCTGCACCCTGTGCCGTGCGGGGAGAAACTCCAGCTGCATGGTCCCCGCGGCGCGGGGATGGGAGCACGGCGGCGCTGTGGATGGGCCAGTGGCTTGGGCACCCTCTGGATTCAATAACCAGGAACCCTTAAACTTGGAGCTTTAGGAAAATATCTGGAAGTGAAACAAGAAAAGGCAGAAAGGGCGGCTGTGACAATGGGCGGGGCTGCTTTCTTTCCCCCTTCTCTGTCTGTGCCCATCCGCCAGCCAGTGCCCGTCGGGACTGTCGGACATGTCGGCACTCGTGGTCGCTGCTGGCACTCTGCACGTGATGACAGCGACACACTAGTATTTGGCGGGGTGCAAGGTGGCACCAGCACAGCCACCGAGAGTGCCGCAAGCCATGCGGCAGAGCGAGGAGAAGCCGTGCCATCTGCTGTTTCTTCGGCGCTAAAGTGTAAAACAAACATAGCTGGGAGCTATGAAACACCAGGAGGGAAGGGGCCGTGCCTTGTTCCAACGCTGGGGCCCGAGGATCCCACGGGCAAAGCATGTGTTTGTCCTGGTGTCGTCAACTGTGTAACCATACCGGCAATGTAAGCCAGGCGCCGGGGCCTTGCTGAAACCCTCGCATCCAGCATCTGTCCCTCTTGGCTTTGGTACCCCCAAAGGCAGCACTTCATTGGTGACTGTCACAAAAAGCTGTGAAGGGGAGAAGCCTCGCAAAGTCAGTTGCAACCTTCTAGCAGCGTTTCCCTCGCGAGCTGTAAGTGAGCAGCTTGCAGACAGATGCTTGGGTTTACTCCCCGGGTGCGCTGGGACTCCCATGTGCTGTGAGCGGAGAAACACGTGCAAGGTTTCCATGGGGGAACCAAACAAACTGCAGGCAGGGGCTGCCTGGGCAAGCAGCGCCAGAGCTGGGAGAGCACCGAAGCGTGGTGGGTGCTCCCATGCTTGGCCCCGCTGCAACCAGTTTAATGTTGGAGGATGGGCAGCTGCCAAGAGGGAGCGCGATGCATCGAATGCATTGCTAGGAAAAGCGGTGAACTTCGCCTGGCAGTTTCCAGAGGATTCCTTCTTCTAGGAGCCAAAGGGGAAAAGAGGATTTGGGGCAATGCTGCATTTTTCTGAAAGGTTGTTGCAATTCCTGAGTCCCCGGGCTCATCGTGTCCCCAGCAGAGGATGGGGAGAAGGCGTTTGCATCTGAAGGTTGTGTCAGGTGTTGCTGCAGGTATCGGGTCCTTCCCCTTTGGAGAGTGTGAGGCGACCCCGATCCCTCTGGGGGGGCTCAGCCCAGAGCCTTGGGAAGAGCTGGAGCAGCCTGAGCGGGGCGAGGCAGAGCAGGCAGCGCAGGCAGCACAGGCAGCGCAGGCAGCCCGGGCAGGACAGCCTGGCAGTGCCGCCGCGCGGGTAGCGGTGAAACTGCGCCTGCTGCGCGCCCGGCTGCTGGCGGAGGAGCTGGGATTTACCCTCCATGGGAGCCTGGAACCTTTCAGGGGTGGCATCTCCCTTCCTCTGCCCCAGCAATGGTGCCTTGCCAGCCGGGTTAGGTTCCCCAGGAATGACCCAGAGCCATGCACCAGCCCCTGCGCCCTGCGTACGGTGCCAGAGCGATGCGCCAGCACAAAGCGTGCAGGGGGCAGGGGCTGGTGCATCGCTCTGGCACCGTATGGCAGGGTCTTGGTGGGGGTGGGTCCCACAGGGGGG